AGGAATGCCTAAGAAACAGTAAACACAGAGAAGTTGAAATTCTGAAGTTATTTTTGGTTTGTGCACAGTAATACTCTCACTACACAGGAGCCTCACTTTTCTTTTCTGCACTGAATCGCTTGCCAAAATATTTCCTACATTTCCAGTTCCTGAAATCCTGTGCCTGCATTTCTTCCTTTCATCACCTCTTATTGCCCTTACAGTTTTACGTGTTTTTACCTCCTTAGGATCAACAGGACTTAGAAAAATTTGCACACTGCCTTTTGCAAGCTAAGCATCTTGAACAGCCAAGCGATAAGGACCATGAGCCTATCAGACTGCAGTACCTGCATGAAGTTGTCACTTGTGGCTATTCCCTCCTGCTTGAGCAAGCTGATCAAAGTACTTGCTTTCTCTTTGTCTTCATCTGATCTATCTAGGGATTGAATGATTACTTTGCTCAACATCTCAGGAATGAAGTGTTTTGGAGCTCTCATTTCTCTCACAGTATTAACAGCATCATTAGCATTTCCATTGTTTAAATACTCAGTCACAACAGCTTCCTAGAGAAAAAAGAACATACAATTAAGCAAACATTCGTTTTCTCAAGAGCATAAACAAGGCATCAAGCAGCACCATTACACACTTAACTTACAGTTTGTTTAAGTAGCTCTTCCTTAGAAGGAGGTGGTTTCTTGGTGGTCTTTGCAGGCTTTTCTTGTATAAGTGGTGGATTTGTTTTAAGACCAAGTTGAGGAGGCTGAAAAAGATAGTACCAGAATTTGTTTCTTTGCAGTAGAGATCTACCTACATTTATATCGAATTTAAGAACACTAAATATGAACAAAAACAGATGACAGTCAAATTAAGTTTTCAGACATTCTTTTCATACATCCTGCGCTCTGTGCAATGAGAAGACTTCTCTCTCCCCGTATTAGGAACTAGTCTAAGTTTTACATGAATGAAGAAATCAAGTACAGCCAACAACATAGTTATTTTCGTATTTACCTGTCCCAAAGGTGGTGTCTGAGTGCGTGGTGGTTGAGCACTGGGAGGAATCATAGTTATCTGGGGCTGAAGCTTTGGCACTTGGTTTTTGTTCATTAGAAAAGACTGAGCAGGTCTCAGGCTAATCTGTAAACAGTAAGTCAGAAACAACTCCAACTGTTTCAAGTATTCTGACTAAGAATACACAGCCATGGACTCACACCAACTGATCCCACCGAGGCATGACTTCTCTGTTTCTACAATGTTAACACTCAAATACAAATTAAGCCACACGTGTACTGAAATTCCCCCAGAAGTACAACTCCATGAATCACAACTTGGTGCAAGTTACTGGTATTTAGTTCCATTGGTGTCAAGATCAGGAATTGCTCCATTTAGATGCAGTATGTTAGAGACCCAAGAAAATACTTAGCATGTTTGCTGATGTATTTCTTTTACAGCCAAGATAAAACTCTACCAATTGCTCAGAAATCAGGATACACGTCTGGTTAACACTCAAAATAACAATGCAGTTCACTCTGCATTTGACATTTTTGCCTATCAGACAGTTCTAAAAAAAAAAAAAAAAAATTTAGCCTGGTCCAGCACTTCAGGGTTTCTAAAATTTCTCAAGTTCCAGATTTTCTGAAGCTTTAATTAAATGTACTGCTATCAATATGATGCATGGGAACTGATGTCAGAGTAGTGTTCTTGGGGAGGTGTGGGGGAAGGAAGGGACACCCCAAGAAATTGCCCTCATATCTCAGTCTTGCTCATAGGACGCTGGATACCCTAAGGAAAGTGAGGGGTAAGGTGAAAGAGGAAGGGACAAAGAAGGAGAAGGAGAAAGAGTTCCAGCATTAGTCCTCATAATAACGCGTCTTGCTATAATCATTGGGCAATATTTAGAATAGGCTTTAAGTAATGTAGGCATGTAATGTACCTCATCTGCATTAAGCTGTCCTTTCTTAGAAAACCGAGGTGGCATATCCTTCGACTGTCCTTGTTGCTGGGATAAGAGTCCCTGATTCTGGTTATGGTAGAGCTGGCTTTGCCCCTATTTCAGAAAGGGAGATATAGAGAAAGAAGTGCAGATGATGGAGTGGCGTACATCATATGGTAAGTAGTACCAGAGGGACCAGAGGAACAAAGATTCTATTTGCCAGGAAGGGAGAAAGAAGGAGCAGGGGTGGTGGGAGAGTAGCATCTATCCCTAAAAACAGGGCTATCTTTTATTTAAAACACACCATTCTGACCCACCAAAGCCACATGCACCTTTTCTTGAAGTAAAAAAAGTGTATTCCCTGCATCTCTTGCACAATTTAAAAAGTGGTTTAGAGTTTTTGTATCAGCTGAGCATCATGTCTTATCAGAATCAGGTCTGAGGAAGTCTTTCAACAGAAGCAGACTATAATCCATAACATACGCATCTGTAGAAGAGCTTCTAAACATGCTGAAGTCACTCTGTGAACATAGTCTTCCTTACCTGACTTTTCAGAAAAGATTTGCCTAGTTCTCCAAACTGGGATTGAGCAGAAGGCATGAGGTGACCCCCATGGCCATTGAAAAGTTGGTTTGAACGATGGCGTCCCATGGTGGGTGAAAATCTATCCTGAATAACCCCTGGACCAGTACCAATTCCGCTACCTGTATTGTTAAAAATAAAAAAGACAATTTTAGTTCTTATTCAATTCAGTACAGCCACAGTCATCAGATCAACCTTGCAGTTTCAGGGTACCTGGCATTTGTCCAAACATATCAGCAAGCCCTCCGAGTGGGTCCCTGTCAAGTTTCATTCTGGGTGGCATAAAGGGTCCCTCCAGAAAGAAGTCGCTTCTCATCCCTTGAGACATAGGAGCAGGAATAAAAACTCCCAGATCCTTTGGAACAGGAAATTTTGATTTCGTCAGTTTAGATTAACAGTCCTTAAGAAAGTCATGTTTTTAACCCTGAACTATTAAAACCCATATGATTTTAACCCTTGACCCCTTACTGTCACACTCTGCTTCAAGAACTACCTATACATGCAACAGCCTAAGTTTTGTGACACTGAGTAAGGAGCATTAAGGATTCCCTGTAACACTTAAGCAAAAGCCAAGCACAATACTTCACACGCAACACTTACTTTTACTGCATCTTGACGGATTTGATTGATAGTCTTTGGTCCATTGTCAAGAAAAGCTTTGCGAGGAACCCAGTTGTGTTCTCTCAACTCCACAGTATCCTTGGAACATAACAGATTATCAGGAAAGGATTCAAGACAACTTGGCAAGAAAAAAAGGAAGCAGTAAGCCATTTTATCATACCTGCAGCAGGAAACGAATCCTTGCTGGCAATTCCTTACTTGACATCAAGGAGCGCATACGGGCAAAGTACTGATCCATTAAGGACTAGGGGAACAGAAGTGATGTTACAAGTGAGGGCTAATTCTATCAGTGTCAAGTATTTTTCAGGAAAAGTGACCACATTTAAGATGAAATAATAGAACAGACTGCCCTTTCCTGCCATCTCAATTTCCTTGTTGGCAGTAGAGGTTAAGGAAAGTTAAGTATCAAGACATTTTATCTGAGCCAAAAGATAAAAGCCTGCCAAAGTTATCATTACTATGACACCATTTAAAGTTCTACATTCAGAACTTGTAACTCAAGGACCAAAACACATCTGTCAGATCACCTACTTATGTTCATAGTAGAGTTCTTCACATCTTCTCAAGCAGCATTTAGAAAACAATAGTCTTGCTTTCCTGACTTCCTAATGACCCTAACTGCATTCTGGAAAGACATTTAAAACCATTTTGAAGATTGGCTCCTTTTGCTATCAAGAGATTTGATGCAGGAGCAACAGTGGTTCTCTTGCTCTCTGAACATCTGACCTTAGTTTTGTACTTATGAATAGAACACTGGATACAGAAGTTTCAGGCAATCAGTCTTAATGACTGCAGTGGGTATGCACATACCTTGGCTTTTGCATGGTCTAATCTAGGTCCCACTGTCCTCATTATCTGACAGAGGCACTCCAAATCCTCCCCCATATCTTTGAGCTGGACTCTCTTCTTCTTTTCCAAAAGCTGAAATATTAAAGGGGAACTGGGTATTTAGATGTATTATAAATGACAATTTATAGTAAACAATGACTTTATACACAGGGACATGCAGAAACATTTTATCTTGTTCTAAAGACAAATAGACTTGAAAATTAGCTTTAAGAATTGCCAATTGAAGTCCTTATTACTCCTAAGCATTTGAAGTACCTGTGGTACTTCTGTCTGAACCAACCTACATCCTTTGAACAAGGCCAATTTTACTTTTTAATCACACCAAAATGACTGTCTATTTCAAACAGCAGGAAATAGATAATTGACAGAAAACATGTTTGTGTTATTTTATGCTCAAGACTCTTAAAGCATACATATTGGCTTTTTTTTTTTTTAAGTCCTATTTTGCTCTTAGCCCCCACCCAAACTGAATACTCACTGTTTTGATGCACTTATGAAGGATAGATTCATGAATAAGATCAAGCTTGCCAAGTTCTCCAATGAATTTGATGTTCCCCAGCATCTTGATCTTGGCAATGGCTCTCTGTTCCTCCTCCTCAGGGAGGAGGGGACCATCATGCTTATCATAGACTGGAAAACAAAAAACCCCATTTAACATGGCTGTGGAAAGAGACAATAAACAAATTCTATGTTAAAGAGGTTTTAGGCTTACTATCAACATTTCTGGTTCGGTTTTCAAATTCATCTTGAAGTTTAGATATTAGGAGGCGTCTGAATGTCTAAGAAAAGAGCACAAAGAAAACAATTAAGCTAATCAGTCCAACTATACATACTAGCAAAATTTATCACTCCAGATTGAGATACACTCACTGTGCTTTGCTTCTGTCCTGGATGACTCTCTGCTGATGGGCCATCAAAGTTGGGTGCATCTTCTGCCAGCCGCAGACATAGTTGAGCATACAGTGAGCTATACTTGGGCTCTTCAAGGGCTTTGTCTACGATCTAAATAAAGTTATTCTGAGTAAGGTGGCATGTAGTAGGATGCAAACATTATTAGGAAAGTAAGTTGCAAGACACACAATGGAATATTATCACTCTAGTTCAGGATACCTATTTTTTTGTGATTTCCAACATACAGAAATAATGGATTTTGTTTTAACACTAGTCTTAATGCTGAAGCAAAGGAAAAAAAAAAACAGGTATTGTATGCTATCAAAGAGCTTCTATAATCCTTAGCCAGTAAGACAAATTTGAATTTTAGCATCAGAACACTGAAGTTAGCGCCACCAATCTGATCTCATATTAAACAAATAGACACAATAGTTCAATTGGTGTACCACCAAGAGGTCACCTGCAGTAGCTTTTCCAAGACCATCAGGCTTGTTCATCAGAACAAGAGGGGGGAGGCAGGGAAGGAAGATTGCTAACTAGCATCTTGGATTATAAAAAAAACCCCAAAAAACCACACCATCACCCAAACAAAAAAATCCCCCATCACATTTAGTGATTCTTTAGACTTCTACAACAGAAGTTAGAGCATTAGGTCCATTTCCTCCCCAGTATATACTTTTTTACACAAAAACCAGGAATGGTATTTCTGTGTGTTTAGAGATTATCAATCACCACGTTAGCCATACTACTTCTGTATCCCATGAGAAATAGCCAACCTCTATTTTTAACATGCAAGAAAACTGTAGTTAGAAGAAAAGCAGCCAGCTTACCAGCAGTATGACCCCTTTTAGGATGAGCTTAGATTCTACACCCACATTGAGGAGCTCAAGGCATAGCTTGTCAAACTTTTCAGGAGTAAGCTTATTTAGTATGCTAAAGGGAAATAAGCAAAAACAAATATCCAGATTACAGATCTTGTAATTTTAGACTCAAGTTTACCTTTACTACCTATGTCTATTAAAAATTAAAAAATGCAATTTTCCATTCAACTGTTTTTTGGGATATCTTTAGAATGTGAAGTATTATTGAAAAGGCTAATCCCCTCACAAGAATTACTTCTCAAGTGGCAACTGCTGCTACTGACCTATCAGTTTCTGCCTCATTCCCTCCAAAGGACACCACACACACCCCCCTCACCAGAGAACTCAAGACCCACATGTCTTCCCTTCTTCCACCCCATTTATTGAGTGTATTGCTGAAGAAAACAGTAAAGAAAAGAAAAAAGGGGGAAAAAAAAAATCTTATAAAAGAACTTACCCTCTTACTTTCCTGAAGATTGCATCATGTCGTTCTTTGTCGTTTGCGGAGTCGTCATCTCGTCTAGTGCTTCGTGAAGGAATCCATTTCTGAGCGTTTTGCCCTGGGGTTTTCCCCAGGAACTCGCTGTAAAATTAAAGGATATGACTGTTCAACAGAAACAATTTCAAGTACTGGCCTTTTAACCTTTCAGTATTGGCTTGCTTAGGCTAATTTCTGTTATTGGTTTTCGTAAGAGCATGCACTTACCCCTATCAACACTGCAACATCTGTTGCATAGTATTCATTCAACAATAATTAAAAAAAAAAAAGACATCCAAGAAAACCTTTCCTCTAAACCTTTTAAGTTAAACGCATGAAAGTCTTTGCACCTCATATCACTGTATCATGACACACACTTTCAACTGATTATATGTTACCCTGCCACAGACTGCAGGACATTACATGCCTCGAACTAAGTAGATACTCCTTTTACAAGTTTAAAGATACTCTATTTTCAACTGAGTATTCATCACCAAGCATTCTCCACCTTTAAAATCACGCCAAATAGAAGAGCAAGATGACATACCTGTTGCTGGCAGTCTTGGGATAGTGCTGAGGTGCACCCCTACCACCTCCTCCGCCTGAAGAAGCACTGTTAAAAACAACCACATAATCTTGTGTAAGTTCAAAATCCCAATGCTTTCAATTACATGTCAG